TAAACCCCCCCCCCCCCCCCCCCCGTAAACTTTTAGATAATCATACCACCTAGACTTTTTTTTTCTTTAAGTCCCACAAAATAAATATTTTAAATTGCATTTAATTCAAACACTGAAAACGTCACAGAAGAGATGCATTCATGTTAACGTCTGTATGAACTGTACGTATTAAAATGACTTCATTAGGGAGTTTTCAACTGTGTTTAATAACAGGTGTGACCACTGATCTATATAAATTATCTCTATTATAGATCAGTGGGTGTGACTCCAAATGCAGTGTAATAAACACTTTATTCGAGCCGCTATATATGAAAAATACCTGACGTCAAGCCCGGTTTCTATTCTCTCGAAACCGGAAATGAATTTGACACTAGATAGTTCACCTGTGCTTTTTATTCACAACTAGTGTTCAGAGTAGCATTTGGGTTACCCACGACGGAAGCTCGGAAGATTAGAATTAACGTTAGATGTAAAACATGACACACAGCTCATGCCCATGTGAGTCACCCTAACTTGAAAACACACAACACAACAACTGGTTGTCAAGTTCAGTTCCGTTCACAAAACAGGTTTACGGAAAAATCATTAGGGAGTTAAGAGTTCCTCCCATCTGGAAACTGTCGAACAGAGTTTGTAAATGTGGCATCGCCTCCACTTGCTTGTACAACTAAAACAACAAATTCAGTACGGCAATAACGGCGAAAAAGTATGAATGAAAATATATATACGAAGCTTATATATATACGTTTATTAGCCTTCTAGTAGTTTATTTTAATACGCATCGGATGTTATACCCGTTTGGGCGTGAAAACGTCAAGTTAAAAACATTGCATCTTGATTCGATCACGTTTACAGTAACGTATAGTTTGGCAAAAGCATAGTCACTATGATTTAAAAACCGTAATAAAAGTAATACCGTCAACGCAACTTTTTGAGGCGGCTGATCTAAAAGCACAAAAAGGAAAGACCGTTAAACATCTGTTGCCACTAATTTTCTCACCCTCTGGTCATAT